CCTGTAGCAGCACCGCACCGCACCGCTGCACAGAGCTGTGCTGAGGCAGCCAACCTCCTTCCCGCCCAGAGCAGAGCCGTAGTTTCCAGCTCAGGCATTGACATCCCTCTCCGCCCATCAGAAAGGACATGCTCTGCTGAGTTCCTCTTGTGAGCGTAAGGAGCTTCCTCTCCATGTTGGCTCTTCTCAATAACAAAGATTAAACAAGTTGAAAGGACTGTGTAGCTCCTACCCATTTTCTTGTTCCCTCAACACTGACCTGTTTTATTTCAATAAAGGATTCCTACTGCCTTGTTTGCTGCATTCTTTCATTTTCCATGATGTTATTGTAATTTAAATTATATTTCATAAGGAAAATTTTAAAATATTTTTTATGAATTCTAATGATTTCTAGAGGTTTTGGAAAAATAATCTTTTCTAAAAATATTATTATCTACAAACATCTTTCAAGGCACTTCGATACTGTGTGCTGCTAAGTGAACCCTGTGTTGAGTACACAAAGCAATTGGAAAGACTGTCTCTCTCACAAACTATGAATATGTCTCTTTCTTAAGAATGTCCATCATAGCTTGAAATTCTTGTATATATCAGTCATTTCAGCTATTTTAGCTACAAAAGATTTATATATTCTTCTCCTATGCTGCATGAAAGATTTTAGTTTAATACAATAGTCTTCAGTTTCACAGCATTTAACTGTTGGTTATACCAATTATCTTCCAGCTGCAAGGACCCTCTATAGAAGAATATTCAAATCCTCAAAATCTGATGAGAACTCGCAGTTGCCCTCAATTCAGAGAAAAGCTCAAGGCATTTGATTCCTCCTTCTTGCAAAAGCACACCCATGAAAAAGTTGTGTAGGAGAACAGAGCAGGAGACTATTTAAAACAAATGCAGAAATAAATTAACACACTTTTCCTTTTCAGTTGTGAATATAAAGTGTGACTTACTCTTTTAGTTAGCTGGGTGTCCATCATGAAATTATGCACATGTTTTTCAGCTTTGGTAAGTTCTAACTTCCTTGCCACCACAGCTACCACCAGTGCAGTGCACCCAGCACCCTGAAAACAATAAAACAAACCCCCAAGATGTTACTACTGCATTTTGCAGAGTTTTTAGTGGAAGTTTCTCCTTTGCTGTAGAAGTATGGCAGGCATCAGGTGATTCATCCCCGGTTCAATATACTTAGCACGCTACAGCTATTTCAGTTCAGAGTAATAGGAAAAGTCAGTAATTACAGGCTGGTAAACTGTCAAGGCATCAAAATAATTAGCGAGCAGCATCATTTAAAAGTTCTGCTTTTTTTCCTGCAGGGGTTGAAAATTTGAATACATCCCATTTCTAGTGCATAAACAAAGGGGGTGATCAAAACAATCTTTAAAACCCAAAATATTAGTAAATAAATGCAGAATACCCTGTTCTTAACAATTGTCTCAAGGTTACAGCAATTGCTAAAGAGGAAATAAGATTAGATTAGTATTTAGTGTACGAAAAAGAAAAGTTTCTCAGGATTTTCTGTAGGGCCTAAAAATAATCATAAATTTAGTGTTTAATCACTTTAGTATACTTCCATATCATTCTCTGCATCCTTCAAAAACCTTTTCCTATATTATTTCTGCTTATCTTATTACCATTTAAAATTGCACACATACACAAGACCATTTCTTCAAAACTTGGATGGAGAAAATATCAATTTTCTAATTTGTGCTATGTATATGTATGCATATGCAAGTATATACATGGACATGCATGTTCACAACAGGCCAAAGCCAGTAGGTGCCTGTCCCTTTGAAATGACAGTGCCTTTATCAGCATCATAAATTTAAATGTTTTTTTTGGGGGGGAGGAAAGGAAAGGAGGCTAAAATGAGAAGCATTCTCACATAATGAGAAGCAGCATCTATATATACACATCTAGAGGTATCATTAACTTTACACTATTAATAAATTCTGCTGCCTTAGTCTTTTTTTTTTTTAACAAATCTTTACAGGTTCTTTTTAAAAAAGTACAAAAATCACATCATCATATGAGGCTGTGTTTAACTTGCAGGTTCACCCCAATCTCATTGTTATTGCACCTGTGTCAGTTACTTTCCAGTATAAAGCAATCTCTTGTTGCACACTGAAGCTTACCACATTTTCATTCACAGAGCTTTCTTCCACTTTCTGTATTTTTCCCATTAATTTACTCTCTCCATTCCCCACCTCTATAACTGCCTTACTCTCTCCAGAAAATCCAGAAATCTCTGAATCTAGCTTCCAAAATACAAATTCCATTAATAAACACATAGAGACGGCAAAATAAATTAACTCATTGGAAACCCTTATTCACATAGTGTCCTCAAAAAAATGAATCTGCTCTCTCTGCTTACTTATTGAGGCACCCAATGAATTTTCTGAAAGTCTCCAATTAATTAATTCTCCATTCCCCTGGTAGATTGTTCCAAGAAATCCATCTGCTTCCTTACCGTCCTGGTTTCGGCAGGGATAGAATTAATTTTCTTCCTAGTAGCTGGTACAGTGCTGTGTTTTGGATTTAGGATGAGAATAATGTTGATAACACACTGATGTTTTAGTTGTTGCTAAGTGGTGCTTACACTAGTCAAGGACTTTCCAGCTTCTCACGCCCTGCCAGCGAGGAGCTGGGAGGGGGCACAGCCAGGACAGCTGACCCAAACTGGCCAAAGGGCTATCCCATACCATGTGATGTCATGCTCAGTATATAAGCTGGGGGAAGTTGGCTGGGGGGCAGTGATCGCTGCTCGGGGACTGGCTGGGCATCAGTTGGTGGGTGGTGAGTGGCTGCATCACTTGTTTTTCCTGGATTTTGTTCCTCTCTCTCTTTTGTTGTTTTCCTTTTCATTACAATTATAACTATTATTATTATTATTTCAAGTATTAAACTCTTCTTATCTCAACCCACGAGTTTTCTTGCTTTTGCTCTTCTGATTCTCTCCCCCATCCCACCAGGGGGTGGGGGTGGGGGTGGGGTGTGAGCGAGCAGCTGTGTGGTACTTGGTTGCCGACTGGGGCTAAAACATGACACTCACAAACACCTAATTCTCTGCAATTAGTTCTCACCTATCAAAGCTTCTATCCCCAACAGCTCTCAACACTCCCTTGAATGAGTCCCTTGTAATTTTGCTGCATTTCCTGCTTCTCTCCTGTTCTTGATACTAAACTTTCTAGCTTTGCTATTCCCTCTCCCTCTGTTCTCCAACCCCGTGTTGATAGAATTTCATGGGAATTTACTTGAAGTCTTGCTCCCTCCATGAGATAAGTCAAAACGGGGCTGTAAGTTCCTTTGCTTCTCCAGATCCCACTAAGAGTTAAAAAGGAAGAAGACAGCCAATGCAGCTTAAGGCTGAGCACTTCAGTAATGCACTGAGACTTCTGAGAGGAGGACTAGGCAGGAGATGCTCTACCATATGCCCTACCTCCTCAGACAATAGACAGCTCTCCTTTGGTCTCCTTCCTGTGAAGGAGGGCAGGAGCAAAGTGCTAATATGCAGAAGACTTCTCTGTGGGCAAACAAATAAATAAATAAATTACCCCATACAATAGCAAGAACATGAAGAGAAAAGCAGACATCTTTTGGCCCAGTATGTCAGGATAACCGGGGCCAGATGTTGATTTAATGACATAACTTGACTTCTGCCTGCTACAGCAAGAATGCTAAAATGGAATGAGATTATTAATACAGACACTACTGGCAAAGTGGCACAAAACAGCTGTTTTGTTAACTGGTAACAGCAAATTACCAGGGGAGAGAAATATTAGGGTCCCCTTTCCCAGCCCCTCCAAAAAAGGCTAGAGGTATGGTGATAGACAAAAGAAATTTGGTTTGAGTTGAAATTATTCCATCCTTTGCAATTAACTCTCATGCTTTTTCAGAGCGGTACAGCAGTTACAAGGGCCAAACGCTGTTAAAAACAGTAGCTTTGTATCTCACATGAAAGACACTGCCTGCAGCAGCAGAATATTGTCACTGACAAGCTGTGACAACCACCTCTATGGTGTATATGCACTGGTATCTCCCTTATCTCCAGAACAGCTTAATGCAACGGCAAGGTATGCTAGATTCAGGTTACCCCTCTTGGCTTTGTGGGATATGATGGGATCTCAGAATACCAAATGAGCTCTTTTAGCATTTCTGCAAAAGAAGGATTATATTATCTGCATGTTTATGTTTCGTAGTACCTTGAAGGAAAAAAGGTTACGCTCATTCTTTAAACAACTAACAGCTCGTGGAAATAAGATTGAAATTCCACTTAAAGTACATGATGCTAATTAATATTTTATGTTACAGTGCTCTGCACTATTATATGGCTCCCATAAAGATCTCAACATCCTTAAAAATACTAATAAAGTGAGAATTATTCCAAACTGCAGAAATGAAATAGAGGCAATACAGTTACTTTAAAATGGTAGCATTATAAGCCTTATACTTGCCATGATTTTGAATATCCTGATTCACATGAAAATTAGTAACATGAATTCAATGAATTCATGCTTATATGCTCAGGTTTTTTTCTTATATCAATACTACATAATGCAGCAGCTACTTTTTTATTAAAAGTACTTAGGCTAAGTAAAAGCACCACGATAATTATTTGAACTGCAAGAAGGGTTCTTTTGTGAAGAAAATTCTAAAAAGTCTTACATTTGATTACTGCATTTTATAATTTCCAACATCATTCTTTTTATACTGTTTTGAAGTAAATAAACTAAATCACTGCTTCAAGCTCTTGCTTAACTTTCGGGGGAATTATATATCGTACAAAGGAAATAAGGCAGGAATGTATATATTTTCAAGTATCAAGGCAGTAATGAATTCTATTTGGAATTTGCACTCCTCAGACAGCCCCCTGTCCGTCTCTGGCATTACAGAGTTATTGTAGTGCATTTTCGCTTGGTAAGCAGCCTGATCTTAAGGGCACTTAGGACTTCCACTATGTCAAAATCTGAGGTAAAAGAGAATGAAAGAATGACTATTCATAATGTTCTCTCATCAGTCCACTGCAGCTTTAGCTAGAGATATATATATCTGAAAGCCACCAACTTCTACCCCACTGAACAGTCCATTCAAGGTGCGGCTAAAGTAAAAGATTAAAAGGAAGTGTCAGATTTCAAAGTATTAAAAAGCATCAGTTTGTGTTAGCTAGTAAATGTTCATAACTATGTACATCAACACTAAAAGGTCTGACTTAAGACTATTTCACAAGAAAGGGAAAAATGGCCAAAAAAGTTAGTTAATTCATGCTGACTATTCAGATTTTCAGTGATTTCAGGCAAATTTGAAAAACAGACAATTCAGTTTTCACAGTTTCTCAAAATTGCAGAATTCTTTTTCTATGCAGGAAAGTTTTGTATGTGTTCACATGAAATGAAGCATTGAACAGTTACAAGCTGCGTTGACAGTTTAGACACAGCTGTTAAAAAACCTGGACAAAAATTATTACAACACATACAGTGTAAGTAACTTGGGCAAGCCAAAATTAAAGTTCAACTCTATTGTTCCATTGCTTATTTGTTCCATTTCATGCAAACAGGTGATAACAGAATTAACCATCCATTAATTAGATTTATTTCAAGTACTCTATGATCAAGGGTTTGCCAGCACCCACCAGTTTTAAAAGTTGATCTACCTGAATTTTTCTATTTTCCAGAAAGCATGTACAGGCTGAACAAACTTATCTACTAAACCAAGAGAAGCCCTTAAAGATCCCAGATTTAAAAATGGGCTTCTCTAAAACAAGACCAAGATTCTGCCCGTGAGCTGGACAATGCCTGTTTTCTTTTTGCAAGGATCTGAAGGTGAAGCACATGAACCTCATCCTGAATGCACAGTATTTCTTCCTTGATATGAAATGGTGTGTATTAGTCTTCAGTAAAAGCAAGAAGTCTGAAAACAAACATATGACACATCCTTAGTCTTTCAGTTGGGCAAAGCAACAAACACTGGACTGCACAGTGGCATCAGATCTCTGATGGCGATGTAAAATTTGCATTTGTGAGCAGTACAGTCTTGAAGCATAAGGTTTACAGCCATTTACACTGGA